ATCTGAAATATATGAAAGTTTCATTTTTATCATTACATTATGGAAAACAATGACCTTTATCACAATATGCTAATTTTTTTAGAAGGACCTGTATGTGATGCTATAAGTTATGTCAAGATCAAATATTTCAGTTACAGGCCCATGTTAACATTAAACAGTTTATGTGTGTGCCTGTGTAGTCAATCTTACCCAGTACTTCCTTTGATGGAGGTAAACTGAAGCTGAGACTAGGATTTTTCATACTGGAGTCATCATGTGAAAGGCCCACCATGCCTCCATCTTGCAAGGAACGCACAAGTTCCCTGAGCCTTGCAACTTCCTCCTGAAGAGACTCCACTTCCTGCTGGCGCTGTTGCTTAGCAGCTGAGGTGGGGTTGATTTTTAGGTGCATAACTCGGGTCTTGAGTGGATCGTAGTCTCCCTGAAAGACCAGACATTGACAGCAATAAATAAAAGGTTTCATATTTATGAAACTATACAAAGGTTATATACAGTAGTCCCTCGCTACTTCACGGTTCAGCTTTTACGGACTCGCTTTTTCGCGGTTTTTCAACGAATGTCAATTTTAACATTACTCACGTGATTGGGACCAGACAGATAAAAGGTTAACAAAAAAGTATACTATGGACAGGCACTGCCATTATGTAGTTTTCTTTCAATAATTCTATACTGTATTGCCAGTCCAAAAGAACTACATAACCCACAAGGCAACAGTGCACTTCCCAGAATTCAATAGTGCTTCTGGTCCACTGCTTTCTGCCAAAATGGAGGCCAAGTTTTGATCTGATCCTAACCTAACTAAAAAGTTTGGCCCTTATTTATAGTGACTTTGGCGCTCAGTGGCTGCAGAGAGACGATCAGAACCAGCCCAGAGCTACTTCCAGCCTCATTGGTCAGTCTGAGTGCTGCTTGCCAGCCCAGGGAGCCTCTTGAGCGGGGAGGTGTTGCCTGGAGGTCTGGTGTCTTCTCCAGAGTTCATCCGAACTTTTTTCATCTGATTTTTCTGGATTATTTGGACTTTGTGCTGGCTTTCTGAAGGTCTGGCTCTTTCCAAAAGCGTCTGGTGCTCTGTGGCTGCAGAGAGCCGATCAGAACCTGACCAGAACTGGACAAAGGCTGGTGAGTCCCCATATAAAATTTTACATTAGCTACTGTGCAGTACATATATGTATGTTGTTAAAATTATATAGGTTTAAGTGTTTAAAACATTGCAAGAGTGTGGAAAAGGTTTATAAAGCCTTAATACTAAAATAAATATAGCGTGTCTACTTAGCGGTTTTTCACTTATTGCGGGGTGTGTGTGGAATGTACCCCCGCGATAATCGAGGGAAAATTATATATATATATACACAAACGACACCATACCAGATTAGTTGAGGCTTGGGTTATAAATGACTGCCACCAGTGCTGTTGACAAAAAGGATGCCTGCGAAAATTGTGCTATACTGTTAGTCGAACACCACTTCTTTTGGCTTTTCCCTCTTCAGGGGTCTCCACAGCGATTCATCCGCCTCCATCTCACTCTGTCCTCACTTAAACTACCTCCATGTCCTCTCTAACTGCATCCAAATATCTTCTTTTTGGCCTTCCTCTTTGCCTTTTTCCCGGCATCTGCATTTCTAACATCCTTAGAGGAAGATACCCATTGTCCCTCCTCTGGACATGTCCAGATCATCTCAGTCTAGCCTCTCTAACTTTATCTCCCAGTTGTTCAACTTGTGCTGTACCTCTGATGATCTCACTCCTAATCTTATCCATCCTTGTCAGTCCTAAGGAGAACCTCAACATCTTCATTTCCGCCACTTACAGTTCTTTCTACTGTCTTTTTGTCAATGCCACTGTCTCGAGACCATACAATATAGCTGGTCTCACAACTGTCTTGTAAACTTTTCCTTTGACCTTTGCTGACAGTCTTTTGGCACAAATCACTTCTGAAACTTTTTTCCATCCACTCCATCCTGCCTGGACTCTCTTTTTCACCTCTTTACTAGACTTTCCATTTTGCTGGACAGTGGAACCCAAGTACTTGAAGTCCTGCACCTTTATGACCTCTGCTCCTTGTAGCCTCACTGTTCCACCGGCCTCCCTCTTCTTTACACACATGTAGTCTGTCTTACTAGGGCTGACTTTCATTCCTCTTCTTTCAAGTGCATAGCTCCAACTCTCCAGGTTATCTTCCACCTGTTCCCTGTTCTCACCACAGATCACAAGGTCATCTGAAAACATGATTGTCCATGGGGATTCCTGCCTGACCTCATCTGTTAGTTGGTCCATCACCAGAAACAAACAAGAAGGGGCTCAAAGCCGATCATTGATGCAATCCCACCTCCACCTTGAAGCTATCTGTCACTCCCAGCACAGAAGAGCAACACCATCAGGCCAGGACTCTGCGGTCTACACTCATCTCCAGACCAGCGGTCACTCTTTCAGGGATGCAGATGTTCACATCCTGTATAGAGGAACCATGGTTTGAGAGGAGTAAAGGAGGCCATCTTTGTGAAAAGAAATTGTCAATCATTAAACAGGGGTGGAGGCCTACGTGTTAAATTGTCCTCCTCTTACAATGCTGTTATTGCTAGTATCACTCAGCCCTCTGTGAATAGTAAACAGCCATCAGGGTGCTAATGATTCATCGTTAGGCTGATGGTCCTTCTTGATCATGTAATCAGCTGGTTTTGGTTGTCAGCAGCAAAACTGGTTGATCCAATCTGAGAAGGTGCTATTTATAAGACTGAGCTGAATACAGCACCTCAGACTGAGGAAGTCTTTCAGATGAAAGACGAAACGTTTCTATATTTTTTTGTTGTTCTGCTTTGTTTTGTTTTTTGAATGTCCAGATGACCAGATTTAACTTTTTTAGACTATTTGTCACTCCTATAGCACATCTCACCACTGTTCCGCTGTCCTCATACATGTCCTGTACCAGTCTAACATACTTCTCTGCCACTCCAGATTTCATCATGCAATATCACACCTCCTCCCTCGGCACCCTGTCATGTGCTTTTTCTAAATCCACAAAGACACAATGGAGTCCTTTCTGACCCTCTCTGTATGTCTCCATCAGCATTCTCAAAGCAAATATGGTGTCTGTGGTGCTCTTTCTTGGCATTAAACCATACTGCTGCTCACAAATAGTCAAAGTCTTGCTTCCACAACTCTCTCCCAGATCTTTATTGTGTGGCTCATCAACTTAATTCCCCTGTAGTTGCTACAACTTTGTAAATCACCCTCGCTCTTAAAATGGGCACCAGCACACTTCTCTATTCCTCAGGCATTTTCTCACCCTCAAATATGCCATTGAATATTTGGGTCAAAAAGCTCACTGCCATCTCTCCAAGACATTTCCAAACCTCTACTGGTATGCCATCAGGTCCTACTGCCTTCTCCTTCTTCATTCGTTTCCGAGCTTTTCAGACTTCACCCTCACTAATCTTCCCCACTTCCTGGTCCACAATTTCTATGACCTCTCCTCTTCATTCCCTTCATTCATTAGCACCTCAAAGTACTCCTTCCATCTTCCCATCACACTCTCCTCGCTTGTTAGAATATTACCATTCCTATCTTTAACAAGCCTAACCTGCTGCACATACTTTCCAACCTGATCCCTCTTTCTTGCCAATCAGTACAAGTCCTTCTTGCCCTCTTTAGTGTCCAGCCTCCCATACAACTCATCATGTTTTCTGCTTTGCCTTAGCTACCTCCCACTTTGCTCTACATCCCATCTCTTTATATTCCTGTCTCCTCTCTTCAGTCATATTCATGGTCATATTTCTTCTTGGTTAACCGCTTTCTTTGAACAGCATCCTGCACTTCACTATTCCACCACCAGAATTCCTTATCATTCATTCTCTATACAAATGACACACCAAGTACCTTCCTACTTGTCTCCAAGTGCAAACCGGATTCCAAAAAAGTTGGGACACTAAACAAATTGTGAATAAAAACTGAATGCACTGATGTGGAGATGGCAAATGTCAATATTTTATTTGTAATATAACATAGATGACAGATCAAAAGTTTAATCTGAGTAAATGTAAAAAGGAAAAATATGTTGATTCAAAATTTCACAGTGTCAACAAATCCCCAAAAAGTTGGGACAAGAAGCAATAAGTGGCTGGAAAAAGGAAATTGAGCATATAACGAACAGCTGGAAGACCAATTAACACTAATTAGGTCAAGTGACAACATGATTGGGTATAAAAAGAGCTTCTCAGAGTGTCAGTGTCTCTCAGAAGCCAAGATGGTAAGAGGATCACCGATTCCACCATTGTTACGCAGAAAGATAGTGCAGCAATACCAGAATGGTGTTACCCAGCGTAAAAAAGCAAAGACTTTTAAGTTATCATCATCAACCGTGCATAACATCATCAAAAGATTCAGAGAATCTGGAGCAATTGCTGTGCGTAAGGGTCAAGGCCGTAAAACTCTACTGGATGCTCGTGATCTCCGGGCCCTTAAACGTCACTGCACCTCAAACAGGAATGCCACTGTCAAGGAAATAACAGAATGGGCTCAGGAATACTTCCAGAAAGCATCGTCAGTGAACACAATCCACCGTGCCATCCGCCGTTGCCAGCTGAAACTCTACAGTGCAAAGAGGAAGCCATTTCTAAGCAAGCTCCACAAGCTCAGACGTTTGCACTGGGCCAGGGGTCATTTAAAATGGAGTGTGGCAAAATGGAAGACTGTTCTGTGGTCAGATGAGTCACGATTTGAAATTCTTTATGGAACACTGGGACGCCATGTCATCCGGACCAGAGAGGACAAGGATAACCCAAATTGTTATCAACGCTCCGTTCAGAAGCCTGCATCACTGATGGTTGCATGAGCGCTTGTGGCATGGGCAGCTTGCATGTCTAGAAAGGCACCATTAATGCAGAGAACTATGTTCAGGTTCTAGAACAACTTATGCTCCCATAAAGACGTCATCTCTTTCAGGGAAGACCCTGCATTTTTCAACACGATAATGCCAGACCACATTCTGCAGCAATCACAACATCATGGCTACGTAGGAGAAGGGTCGGGGTACTGAAATGACCAGCCTGCAGTCCAGACCTTTCACCTATAGAGAACATTTGGCGCATCATAAAGAGGAAGGTGCGACAAAGAAGGCCCAAGACGATTGAACAGTTAGAGGCCTGTTTTAGACATGAATGGGAGAGCATTCCTATTTCTAAACGTGAGAAACTGGTCTCCTCTGTCCCCAGACATCTGTTGAGTGTTGTAAGAAGAAGGAGGGATACCACATTTGGTAAAAATGGGACTTGTCTCAACTTTTTTGGGATTTGTTGACGCCATGCAATTTGGAAACAACAAATTTTTCCCTTAAAAATATACATTCTCTCAGTTTAAACATTGATCTGTGATTTGTGTTCTATTCTGAATAAAATATTAGATGTTGGCACCTCCACATCATTGCAT